ATCATCATCATCCATCAACCATCATCCATCATCCATCATCATCATCATCATCGCCATCATCGTCATCACCCTCGTCATCACCACCATCTTCATACGTCGTCATCATCATCATCGTCATCATCATCATCATCATCATCATCGTCATCCATTATCCATCACACTTGGTGGTATACTGCCCCAACCAAGGTGGGGTCCCCGACCAAGAGACGAGAAATCATGGCCACCGGTGACCTCAGGTCGGAAGAACACGGCCTTCCTAAAAAATAGTCGTCCCTCAAAACATAAAACAGTAATAGAAAAGTAAATCATCACTATTTCTAGTTAAAATTTACTTAGTTACGGTTCTATCTTTTTGATATGTGGATATTTCTCTGAACTATAGTGAAAAAAACGTGGTGAGTGGTCACAATGTCTTCGAAGATTCAGATAATTTCAGATATATGCATGCTATACTCAAGAAGTTCAATGCCGGCAATCACAACCACAAGGCGCTCAAAGGAATTTTGATGACCAACACTTGTATACACATCTGCAATGCAAAAACGTTCCAGACATGTGGACTTTGAACAGAAATTCAGAACCACACTCTCACAACAATCATACATGTCTCCAAATTTGGGATCTTCAAAATATAAATCCGGTGATGAGTCTCCACTTGGATTTCTAGCCATTTTGGATAATTTCAAAGTGTAGAGATAAATCATCATAAATCCTGAAATCCAGAAATTTCACCCGCAGCCTCTGTCACCACAGGTGTGGCTGCGGTTGTTTGATCCAATGGCAGTCACAGGTGGAGGTTCTGCAAATGACTTGAATGTTAATCGACCACATATGTTCTTGTTGGAAGATTTCAGAATCTGTATATATAATATAATTATGTATACATATATGTACATATAATCATATATGTATATATACATATACATGTATTCATGCATATAAATATGCACGTTTGCACAATATCGGTATGTATACAGTACAGTAAATCGAGTCGTACACGAGTCGTGCAGTAAAACCAATTTATCTTCATGGCTCTGTTTCCCTTCAGGGAATTTCGGAATCATGGCTGGGTGTGTAAAAAAAAAGGTCCCCACCAACAACCAGCAAAGTTACTACCCACCAACAAAGTTTCATAGATATTTGTGTAGGAGTTTAATACAAATAATATATCAGCTTTAAACCTTCAAAGGTTCAATGGGCCATTAGACTAGCTAGGTCAGCTCGGTGACTATTCAAAGTGTCCCCCCCATTGAACGTATACACCGCCGTAAATACACATATACAACGATCATGCGTAATTATATGGGCCACGGCCAATATCTAGTATATAGCTCCAAGTCATCAATTGTTTCAGAGTGTATTATATTTTTCCCGTTTTTTAGGAATATAGCAAATGTTATCGTTTTTTGAAGAGTGTATTTTCGTTTTCCAAATCCCAGCTCAATTTCCAAAAAATAAAGATGTCTCGAATACTACTTTCCATTACGCTTAAATTTGGTGGTAGCTCATATCTAGAGGATTCTACAGGTGTTCATGGGTTACATATGGGTTACCAGCTCACCATGGTCTCATCGTCCATGGTCTCATCGTCGATCGTTCCACGGTCTGCGCGCACTTTCTCTACGCCACCGGCTCGGACGACTGATCAGCGGTGCTCTCAGGGGCTCCGTTGCGTTGCCAGTTATGGACTGATCTTCACAAAGCTACAGATGGATTTGGATCATTAACAGGAAATATAAAAATGTATTTTTTCTATGACCGTCCTTATGGTTTGGAAATCCTTATTTCTATGCCAAACATCTATAAATATTGGATCATTCCCTATGGAATTTTCTATGACCGTCTTTGTTGCGTTCGGATTCCTGATCGGCCTGTGGGTATCTCTACTTGGTGTTTTGGGTATCTGCTATGGGAGGTGATTTACCTAGCAAACATCTGTTTGGCAATTCAAATAAAGGTTGAAGGTGCGGTACATATACATATATATACATACATACATACATACATACATACATACATACATACATATATATATATATACACGTATATATATATATATGTGGGTATATGTATATGTATATGTATACACCTAGATATGTCTCCAATAATGAATAGAATGTCCCCGTCTTGTTCGCTACCATTTATATTGTTGATATCTGCAGCTTTGATGTTGCAAGATCTACATTGTTATGGGCATTGCCTTCCCAATTTCAAACTTTTGCTTCAGAAACAGGTCAAACTCATGAACCTACCAAATGACATTGTGTAATTATATATATATGCATATGTATATATATATATCATATACGTAGCAATGCAAAATAGATCCTACTTAAATAGCCTTCATGGCTTTTTGCCACAAGCGGTTTTCACGGCAAAAATGCGCGTCAGGATGAGCCCCCAGGAGTGCTAATGCTGCGCCGCGCTTCAGAGTGCCTACCTTCAAGAAGCGAAGCTGGTGGATAGAAATGCCATGGAAGATCCACCTGAATATGAAAGAAGTCAATGATAGAAACATATCGTTTCAAAGAAAACAGGTGCCCTTGTGAGACCACAACAGTAAAACGATTTGCAAAGACCCCAAAGTCCAATGTCATCCTATGTTCCTCTCCCGCAGTGCCTTACCAGCTGCCGCCCCATTGGTTTCCTCAGTGCCACGGGATTTTGAAGGTTTGGAGGGCCTCCATCAACAAAACATCACAAACATTCGCAAATATTCCCAGATGGGTCAAATCATGACACATTACTCATCAAGACTCCCTGATTTAAAGTGCTAAAATCATCACACAGATTGTTCACTTTTTTCCCCAGATGTTTTTTTTTCAAAAAACTCAAATCATCACAAATCGCCATGCCAGGCCTCCCCAAGCTCCACCTTTCGGGGCTCCTGGGAAGATTCTGTCGGTTTTTCCCATCATGATCTCTGATCTATTATAGTTATATCATTATATATATAATTATACACATATAAATATATGATCTAGTTATAGCCATTTAGAATGATGACATTCGTATGATATCTATCTTGTGATCTATATATTTATAATATTTATACAACATGAGATGTGTAGTGTGTATGTATATACATACATACTTACTACCCGCAATGGACATGGCCAAAGTTGGTGGTCCCCTATCCTTGTGAAGGTTTTCGCACAAATTTGAACATCCCAGGTCCACTCCCTACTACTTGAGTCTTCCGCTAATTTTGTCGGTTACTCATATATATATATATATATTATACATATAATCATATATGTATATCTATATGTAGCATGATTTATGATTTCATGTGAATGAATGGATCATCCCAGTGGGGAAACATCAGCACAGAATTTCGCTTTAATCGATTCCTGGAGGCGCTGGCGGTGCTGGCGGTGGTGGTGGAACCTGGCCGGAGTTTTTCGTTAACGTTAACGTTGACCACAGGGGAAGATGGGTAGGTGGATTTTTACCATGGAAAATGATGGATTTCATGGGTTGAACCATGAAAAATGATGAATTTAATGGGTTTAACCATGAAAAATGATGGATTTCATGGGTTTAACCAACAAAAATGGTGATGTTGCTTGGATTCAATCGTATATCATGGGGATATCATGGGGATATAGCTGGGGTGCAGTTGGGGTTGTGACTGGGTACGGCCCTGCTAATAACCCCGGTAAGTTGGGATATAATATAACCCTATAACTATGGTTGTGTATATGAACCTAGAACCCCAACTACATCCCAAAGTACTATAGATTAGATCAGATTAGATTAGATTTAGCTTAAATTTAGATTTAGATTCATATAGATTTAGATTCCGATTCAGATTGACTAATTAATTGATTGATTCATCAAAATACAAATCGATAGATCGATAGATCGATAGATAGACAGATACTGTAGATAGATAGCAGGTTTGCATACCCATTATATACATATCTCAAGACCCTCTTGGTACCCAAGGAAATTAGCAAAAGCAGGGGTTCCGTACCAAACGGCTGGCATTGAACATCCTGTTTGCACTAATCCCACAACAGGCCCTTTTGAAACTCACCCAGGTTGCTGATCAAAGGTCCATTTTGTGGTAGTGGTGTCACCAACTTTCGATCAGAACTAGTTATTGACTGATATGAAGTGATATTTACTAATATTAAGTGTAGAAAAAAAGTTACCAACAGTCGTAGTACCCCATTTTTAGCCAACGGCCCCTCTTGGATGGTCCTTAAGACACTGCTGGTGGCGATGAAAAATTCCAACTGACCATGGTACCATGGTACAGAGAAACTCACTGTTTCAAATATTTGAAAGGTAAAGGTCCAACAAAAATAGCTGAAAAGAACGGTTGTTTTCCCAAAATGTCAGCTGGTTGTTCCAAGATTTGTTCCTAGGAAAATCCATGGTTTTTCCTAACGTTTTGTTCCATGAAAGCCATGGCGTTGTTCTACTGGGTTTCCCCACCGGCGCCATGCTGGGCGCCATGCTGGGCGCCATGCTGGGCGCCATGCTGGGCCGTGGTGGCTCAGGACTGGTGGGAATCAGCCTCGACAAGCGTCCAAAGTGATGGATTTTTTATGGGTTTAACAATCACAAATGATGGATTTACCCTCTGGTAATTTTACATAGCGAACTGGAACCATTTTTAATGGGAAAATCCACTATTTCAATGGCCATTCTCAATAGCTATGTTAAATTACCAGAGGGTAATGGGTTTTACCATCAAGAATGATGGATTATTCACAGGCAAACCTTGAGGGCGAAACCATGGCAAAACTTTTCGAATGTAGTATCGATGGTTCCCAGTTCTCATAATGTGTATGGCCTTGTGGCTACAAACCAACTATTACATAATGCCAAATTCATATGTGTTTGACTGAAACCTGACCGATAAAATCTCGTCAAAATCTCTAATCTACCCAAAAAGTACAGATCAAATTGCCTCCAGTAATTACAGTAACGGGTAGACATGGAAACTCCACCATTTATGGATGATTTCCTGGTGGTTCCTCACGGGTTTACATATCTTGAGCTCCAGACCCATGCTTCACAGCCTCTGCCGCGGCCCTTGCCTGGAAATTTGGAGAGGGAACTCACCATTTTTGTGATTGGGAATATGTCGGAAGAAGATCTGGCAATTTTTAATGGATTTTCCACAGGTGGAACAAATCCCAGTTTCATGAACAGAAGCCCTTGTCTTATTGAAAAACAAGGAAAACGCATTAGTAAGTGGGTAAAATATATATATATATATACATATTATATATATATATCCTCGATATTGGGATGGTTCCCTATACTAGCCATCTTTTCTGTCGTTTTCCGTCGTTTTCCGTCATCGGTGATTGGTTTACCCACCAGCATGTGGCGGGTGATTTTTTTGACCCACGAACCTGGCGATTGAAGCTCCATTTTTGGCACTTAAGAACCACCATTGTTGATGAACACCCATTTTGACTCTTGAAACCACATTAGACCATATATTAAACATTATTAAACCATATTAACTTTATTAAACCCACCATTTTGCCCATGTTTCGTGCTTGAAGTCCCCATTTTCGTTGAAGGGCCAGCGCTCCACCAGCTCCCCGGACCCTGGCGATCGACTCGGAGAGTGTCGCGGGGAAGCTGTTGGGTTGGTGCCTTGGCACGACATGTCGATCGAAAGAAACCAAAAAGCTGTAGCTGATCATAGCTGATCAAAGCTGATCATAGCTGTAGCTCATATTTCATGACATGGGACATGGGATGTCTGGTAAACTGAAATGTTCATGGATATTGGATCTATAGATAAAAAATTGGGATATGGAAAAAGATATGTTTTTTTTCTAAAGGTAGAGCTCCAATATCCAATACATCAAAATTTGGGCTTCACAAAGAAATTTCCAGGCCCCGCGCACTGGCACCGTAACGGCTCCATGCGAGACGCCACCAGACCTCATCTCGACCCCGGTCATGTGGGCCATTCGAAAATGGGTAATGATGATGAACCAGACGTAGGGCTAATGATCTTATATATCTTATATATCTTACATATCTTATTATATTCAGACAACATCAAACAAGCCCATATTATATCATATTATGGTGTTGTTTCCAAAACTTGGGGATTTACCTTCCGATTTCCCTCCGAAAAAGGGGTTGTTAAAAAATATCGATCATCGATTTGGCCTTCCCCGCTGCTGGGATTCACAACAGTGCGGCCGCCGCAGGTGTCTTGGTGGGAGTCATATTCTTGTCCAACTCAGCCTTCACCGAGACACAGCACCGACGCTGGTGTTGCGAAACATGGAGTGGTTTCAAGTTTTGAACTTCTGGATTGCTCTACTTTGGGGCGTATTTAAGTACATTTAAGATTATCTAAGTATTGGCTCTGAGGCTTTTCCAAATTTCGCAAAGTGGGTCCATGTTGAAGCAAACAGAAGACGCAAAAACACATCAATGTGTGCATGAGATCTGGAGTCAGCAGTTGGCAACTTCTTCAGATACATCCGTTCGAATGTCCCGTGCCCGGCTTTGAAGAAGTTACTGTAATTACTGTAGTAATTGTTACTATTAATTGTTACTATGAGCATTCACAGTCATCGTCACTGTCATCTTCATCTTCACCAACATCACGAATACGGCATCAAATTTATTGTCACCACTGGCCGGTGAACCCCATGGTTGCTACAGCTCACACGCCTGAATCAAAGACTTGGCGATGGTGATAGCTTCCTGAGACGCGAGGCGACGCGATGGTGATGTCGCTGGTTTTTTTATTCTCCTTTCGAGATGATAGCCCTAGCCATCGTGCCATCGTGCCACTCTGTTTCTCATCCATACTTCAGCAAAAACATCAACATCAGCCGTACGCTTCACAAGCCTCAAGTCACATCTGTTGAATAGCTGAAAATCGGTGAACATCGGTGACAAGCCCATCCTTTACCTAATGATCATCACATTCCTTGGCCATTTTTGGGCCCCAGGAAGCGATGCCCTGCCCGGCCTGGCTTCCCGTCAGCCTCACTTTACACCGCGCGCCCGACTTGTCGATGTCGATCCGCGCCTGGGCGATCGCAGAATCCGCGATCCGACTACTGGTGGGTTGTTACCCCGTGATTTTCATGGGATTATCATGGCTTAATACTGGGCAATCATGGCTAAGAAATGTTACAGTAATTTAGGTCAATTTAATGGTATCTCTAGTCTACTATATTTGCATATATATATATACATACCTACTGAAACATTTACCTACTTTTTTTTGGGGTGAAATAATAAAAGATATTTATTTTTCATCTGGATAAATAAAAGATATCTATTTAAAAAAACAACTATGTTTTTTTTCATATCCCCTATATCAAGACTATTTGAGAGGTTTTAGTTGGGAATTTAACACGTTGCATGCATTTCATTTGGCAAGCCCTGGTCCAAAGTGATGTCCCTGTGAAGAACCATGACCAAGTATGAGTCAATTATAAGCATGATTTGATGCAATGTCACATTCCAATCTACAGGGTGATACATGTCAAAAATCCTTCAAGGGATTAAGTTACCCAAGAAAAGATGATGTGGCAAGATGCATTTCATCAATCAATAGGTGTTCATGTTATGTAAGGGGATAATACCACCAACTTTCCATATCTTACCGCCTGCCCCGTGTGGGCAATGTGTGTCTATGTGATGATGGCCCACACTGAAGTGATGTTCAGAGCTGCAAAGCAGTGGTGCTTCCCCTTGTACCCCAAACTGCATAGTTTCCACCATATTATGCTGGAGGTGAAATTCAAAGGGGAAACTGCACGTACATGTTGCAATCCAATGATGTTTGGAACTCAAATGGATGAAGATGTAGTGGGAAAAACTTCCCGCCTTTCAAGGCGGGTAAATATTAGAAAGACCAGCTTGCGGGCTCTTCAACGGTATTTAGTTGCAGCATATACTGCCTTTGCGAAGGCAAAGTTGCTTGGCTAGAAAAAAGGTTGTGTTAGCTGGGTTCACAGGGATTTGGTTCCATGCCATTGGCTGTTGGAGCAACTAGGTCTCGTGGGTCATGCCTGATTCTGTGTTGAACTTGCCATGAATGGAATCAACGACCTTCTTTTTCTGGGTGTAAGTTAATCCTACTTATGGGCCCAAACTAAAAACCAGGTATTAAAAAAAAAAAAAACTATGTTTTTTTTTGGTACCCAGAAAAAAGAAGGTATTTGATTCCGAGGGTATGTATATATATATATATATGTATATATATATATGTATATATGTATATATATATATATATTACTGGGATACCCGGATATTGGTGTCAAATGTGACTGGGAAATCCCCAAAATGGAGTTTTGTAGCTGGGAAAATCATCATTTGAGGTGGATGTTGCAGCCATGGTTGATTACCAGAGAATATTTTGTGGATTTTTAAGGGATTGCAGCCATGGTTTGGATGTAATTTGGATATAGCCAACAAGCTGGATATAATGGTGGTATAGTTTTTTTTCATATCAGCCACCGTGATGGGAATATAGGCGGAATGGCGGTGTAAAATCAACCATTTGACTGGAATATGATGCTTGCATTGCATGAGTCAATTCCATTTTAATCGTCATAAAACCAACGATTGTATGGGATATATCCAACAATCTGGGGATGCCTGGGTTTGTCCTCAAAAATTCAGGATTGTCAGAATAGGAATTTAATGGTGAATGGTAGATCAACCAATTATTAAAGAAGGATAATGGAGGATTTCATGCGACAATCAATGGAACTATACTGGAAAGGTAAAAAAAATAGTGGTTTCTGCACGACAAACAGTTGGGGGGTCAAACTACGATGTTTCACCGTAGTTTGGTGGTTTTATGGGATATCTAACCGGATCAAAATGGGGAAGTTACCTCCCAGACCCTCCCAGCACATAGCCATTCAACGTACGCCAAAAGATATTGGATCTTGGGAAACGACGGGAGGTTGACATTCCAATGCCACTGAAAAAAAATGCAAAAAAAACATATATAAGTGGTTAAACTATCTTCTACTTATTTGAAATTCAAATATTTGGTGGTAACATGTGGTAAACCCCCTTATAACTATATTGTATTTCTACCAATTTGGTGATTTGTTCGGTCTTTTTTTCCACATGACATGGCTTGGCCCAGGCATCTCGGCACCGCTGGTATCCTGAAACTGCCGAATACGCGAGCCTGACAAAACCACGGCTCGAATGATGGTGGCCCAAACACCAAAATGGCTTGGCCCAAACGGGTCAGGAAATTAGCCCAAAAATAGGAATTAAACACCAAATATTCACAAAAAAAATAGGGTTTTAAAGAACTCTAGAACTTTTTTTCCAGGAATTGTGGGTTGGCAAAAATAATGGCAAGCAAAAAACGCTTGAGTTCATGGTCCATTACTTCAAGAAATTCAACAGGGGTAGTTTTCGGACTCAGTAGTTGGAAGCCACCAATCATCATGGAGCCGTGCGGGATCTGGATCCTGTGTAGTCATGTTGAGCCTCAAACTTTATATTTATATCATATCAATCTTCAACAAAATGCCAAACGTGGATTTTTGGATTGATTATGATTGATTCAATTTATATACTACTCTCATCTTCTTCTGTGTTTTTCGTAAAAAAATGTGTACGAAATATATGAAGCAAAACCATTTCTCAAACTTCAAATTTCCAACCTTCGCAATGCCCCAAAAACATTCGCACGGTTGAAGTTTCGACATGGAAAAATCCCCCAGCGGGGATTCCCAAGGGATTCCCAAGGGATTCCCAAGCTTCAGGGTGCCTTGGGCACCGATCAAGGCGCCCGAGACAGTCTTTGGCAGGTCCAGGTACTCCGAATGCTCGTCCTGGAGCAGCCAGACGCAGCCAGGACGAATCGCGTGTGGAAAAGATCAAGGTCCAATGGCTGATCCAATGGCTGATCCAATGGCTGATCCAATGGCTTTCAAAATGATGTTAAAATAACATGTCGCTAAATTACTGTTACTATCTATACAAATATGTGACATGATCTGTGTGTGCAATATCATGTACAATGTAGATAAATCATGATAAATAGATATTAATGTAACATCCATTCAGAATGGGGGAATCTAATAGATTATAGCTCAGCTATGCTCAGCTAGCCACTACAGTAATACCCTGAAGAGTTGGCTATTGGACAGTGGTGTATCTGTGGACCTCAAATCCCTTAGCCTTATAATGATTGGCGTCTTCCCCTGCTAACAGGACAGGAATCACCCTGACTTCAGGATCCAAGGAGTCTCCATGGAAATTCTCTGTATCCCATAGTGTTTTTCCATCAGAAAGCCATAGGTCCCATAGTGGGTCCAATGTCCACAGGAAATCTCCGCCTCAAGTTGCATGGCAATCGTGAGAAGCACCTTCTTGGCGCCTCAACCAATAGCAGGATGCAGTGCCAACAGCCAACCATCCTATCAATGCTGAGACCTCGTGGTTCCATCGTGGTTCCAGTCGTGGTTCCAATGGTCCCAGCATCACCAATCCAACTATATAGGGGATAGTGAAACCATCAGAACACCCACAAGGTGGTCCTGACGATCAAACGAATGGCAGGGCTCCCCCACGGTCCACATTATCAGCATCGCCCTCGCGCAGACAACTCGAAAAAACAGGTTGCATGGCTGGGATCTACAGTGAAAGTTCAGTGTCACCAAGCAGGGTTTCCAAAATCACAAATAAATCAAAAAAAATATCTCGTCTCCCAACAATGGGTTTCTCTCAGTTGTTGTCTCCAACTTTCTAGACAGCTCAGCCACCCTCCCGTAATCAAACATGGCAAGTGAAAATCCTATATCAATTGTGTTTCATGGAAAAACTTCGAACCAAACGGAGGATTATGAGGATTTATTGGAAATTCTCCAGCATTTATATGCATTTTCCATCTTTACACCGAAATTTCGGGATAAATTTGGGATAAATTTGGGTCATCCCCGCCTTGATATAGCACTTGCAAGGGTCAGTGTCAAAGTCCACGTCAATCTTCGTCTGTGTTTGCTGTTGCACCTCGTTCACCTGTGCCTTGGAAGCTTGGATGCTGGAGGACTCAAATCCAGATCCAGCAGGAAAAGCCCTAGGTGTTTCTGGTGTTTCTAAGTTGTTGTTTTGAAAACGATTGGATTTATGGTAGATGTATGATATATATATATATATATGATATATGATAAGTATGTGTGTATCTACATTTGAATCGATCTTTATAATGGCCATGTATTGGGCTACAGCTTCCAGTGCTCCCAACTTGATCTCTGCGATGTGGCTGCCATTTTCCCCTGGAAGATGGGCATCCCTGCTCCTTTCAATCCAATGACCATGCCGATCCTTGCGCGGCAAAGGAATCAGGACATGTTGCCCCAAAAAATCGCCAGGGAAAATGATGATGAGCTGATGGATTTAGGGGGACCCCATTTTCAAACAAGCCCGATCATGTTATTCACCCGAGATTCTCCGATCATGTGTCCAAGGTGTTCATTGCTCCGGTTTCCAGGACTTCTCGAAGTGGTCAGCTGGCACTGATGATCACATCCTATGTGGTAAAGCCAATAGTAAACCAATCCCAAATAGTACCAGAAATAGGTAAACTAACAATAATCCCCGAAGTGTAATCCGACTAGTAGGTTTATTAGGTTTATCACATTAGTTCACCAACCATAAAATGGACCTTTTTTTCGGATCTTCCTCAGGATCTGTATCCTTTTTATCCATCACCAGTCAGCATTTTTCGTCCACCCAAAACTTCGTTCCAAGCATCTTGGATCTTGGAATCTCCACATAATGTGAGCTTTGATGTTTCGACCTCACGGCGATATCCCCCAGGGGTGGTTATGACATCAAACGACGTGTTTACTAACAAATACTAGTGGTTTCATCATTATTTTAGTATGGATGTGTTATTACTGTTCTGTTTATTATGACTCCTGTTTGTATATTAATATGTTATACTATACTACTATATCAAACTGTATTATCTATTATATACATGTCATGTTATATTGTATCTAATATATTTTTATTAAACTACATGATACTATATCATTATATAACATGAAATCATCATCTTATACTGTATCAAATTATATCAGTTTGTATCATATTTGATTTACATATAGTATATCTAATTGCAGCATACCGTACTTCATTTTATTGAACTCTATTTTATAGTATTACATCATGGTATGTCATATCATATCATCTTAAACTGAATTGAATTATATGAAAATAAATACCACTGTTTATTATACCATGGTTATATTATATTGTATTAATTATATTGCGTTATATTATATTGCTATATGATGTTGCAGTATGGTGTCTATATATATATATATATTACAAGGAAACACCGCTGTTATCCCAAATCGGCTCGCACCTTTGCCGATAGTCCAGGTATTTTGGGTTTTGTGGTTTGGAAGAAGTTGTAAACAAACTACCTATATGGAGTGATTTTGGCTTTAGCCCTTGAGGGTTTTAGAGGTTGAAGGTTCAGGGTTTCTAGGCTGTAGAGTTGCTTGTCAGCACAAGAGCTACGAAGGCTCTGCCGGATGCCGCGGGCAAACGGATGCGTTTTTGCGCAATATTATCAGACCAATCGAGATTGAAATATATTACAGTACATATGTTTATACATGTTTATATTGCTATATGTATATATAATACATTGATGATGATGATGATGATGATGATGATGGTGATGATGATGATGATGATATTGATGTTGATGACAAGGAGGAGGAGGAGGAGGAGGAGGAGGAGGAGGAGGATCCTTTTGATTCTCATGATCATGATCAATACATATGACAACGATCTGTATCAACTGTGATTGTCGTATGTATCAACGGCACTGGGATCTCCTCAGTCAGACAGTGATCATTGGGTTCATTGGATCAGACAAAAATACCAGTACAGCGGGGAAACACCATGATGTTGATATCATGATAATATCAAATCATTGGATATTCAATGATACTCATGTAGTTACAGTTGTTGTTTTCTTGCCTGTCCCCTCTTTGGAGAATCATGAGACTTATCCGGATGCTAAAAACCTTTTCCAACACGCCATACCCTCTGGTAATTTAACATAGCTATAGAAAATCACCATTTTTAATGGGAAAATCCACTATAAATGACCATTTTCAATAGCTTTTTGTATGTTTACCAGGCCGGGTAAGTCTCACAGCCATCGGCACCCGGGACACCCAACTTTGTCTGGTCGATCAGCTCTAAGATTAACTCCTTGGCCTCTCTCGAAGTTCATGGAGTTCACCCACTGGAAAATCGCCATGGATTTTGCTTCCCAAAGACCAATCATGAAATGACTGGAAGACATTGGGAAACACCAACATTCATAGGCAATCCTTAGTATATATATATATATATACGTATATATATATATTATATATATATATATTTGAATGCTCTGGGGAAACACATCATTTGTAAATCACTTGGAAGTGTGGACGGGCCTTTTCTCGAACTTCGCACAGTTTTTTTTTTAAACATATCAAAACAAAGCTGCAACATTCCAAACCATGGATGGTCATCCCACTGCCGAAAAAGATCCGATCAAAATCATGCCCAAAAGGATAGGCAAATCGGTCAGGGTTTATTTCACTAGGCTCCCTTGGCTAAGAAATGGGATTTATGGTTATGTATATATATATATATATGTATATATATATATACATATGTATCACGATGTATCATGATCTACAGTCGGATGGATTGATTGGATATATCATAATCTATATGATGATGTACAAATATATATATATATATACACACCGTATACTGTATACTGTATATATAATTAGTATATATATATATTTGTATATATAATATGTATGTACTATTACGTACTGATATATCATGATACGTCTACAGTTATAACATGGATAAATCAACAAACACAGACCTCGCCATGGCGCATCATGGCGCCTTCCTGACGGCCTCTGCAGTACCCGCCACCTTCACCTCGGGATGAATTGAAACCGGTTTTGTTCCATTGGAAAATAGGGGAAAATACTGGAAATCACTGGAAACTATGGGAAAATACTGGAAATCACTGGAAACTATGGGAAAATATGGGAAATTCATTGGAAAATCTGGGAAAATATGGGAAATTCATTGGAAAATCTGGGAAAATATGGGACATTCATTGGAAAATCTGGGAAAATATGGGAAACTCTCAGAAGATCATGGGAAGATCATGCCAAACTCATGGGAAAATCATCTAGAAATCTTCTGATGTATTGCAGTTGGCTATTGAAACTCAGCGTGTTTTCGAGGTAAATCATCCCCAGCTGCGAGTTGCTCCAGAAACCATAACCCATGGGTTCCGCCTTGGTTGCTTGGGAAGTACCTATAAAAACTTCCCATGCATAGCACCTGCTTTGGGGGCGACCATCCCAATTAATCAATCACACAACAAAGAGTCAGTAGATTGCCAAAATATGGCAAATTCTACAATGATGCAGCAGTTTAACATCAACAAATCCGGGCAGGTATTTTAAGCAAGTCTTTGGAGGCTTAATCCCATCCATGGCTGGAAAAACTGTAAAATCTCCCAAAAAAATGTTGGATTTTTCCTGTGTTCCCAGCTATCAATCTCCATTTTATAGTGGATCTTCCCATAGATTATCCAAACCATGGTTTTTCCTATGAAAAAACCTCCATTCTCCCGTGATTTGACCCGCCAAAGTGACCATGCATGGATCCGCCGTTTGATCTCTGGCGTCCACCTTAAAGGCTCCACTCCTGGGTCATCGATGGCGTATTTTCGCCATTGAAATCAATGGATCGCAAAGGATTTAACATGAACTAAGCATATAAAAACCATAAGTTTTATGAACTAACCAACTAACCATATAAAAAAATATGTGTCAGATATTGTCAGATGATATTAGACCATATGAATTACTGTATATGTGTCAGATGATGTGAATGAAGTTCTGAAAATGATTTCAAGCATGACTCCAACGCAAGAAACATCAAGATGTTTGGGGTGACTATGATCAGGATGACTCCAGGAATGCCTGGCAGAATGTGGCCCATGGGGAGCATGACCAACATGACCAACGAGGTTGGTCGTATCGCCAGCTATTTTCGTGGTTCACTAAGTTCACTCCCCACTTTGGATAGTCAAAGTACTATTTTTGGATGCTTAAACCACCATTTTCTGCTGGTGAAAATCCCAATTTTTTTCGGTGCTCTGGGTCTCCCAACTTCTCGCGGATCTCAATGATGGTGGCCGCCTGCTTTCCAATGACCTGCGGCAAACGGCGGTCCATGTGTACTGTACATTTTTTGATGCATATAATACATAATATTGCATATATATATATATATTGATCACTGCATCCAGGTCTTTATCCAAATGCAACCAGGTCTCTGAATATTCATGGCTCAAACATCATGTCCTTGGCCCCTTCGAAATCTGTGAAGCTTCCACGTTGCTAGATTGAATTTCATAGATTTTTATTTTCCCACAAAATTTTGTATTTCCCAGCTCTTGGGGTAGCTTATAGCTTTTAAATGAGGTCACTTTTGTCTTGCATCCCAGGTTGATGGCTCCATTGAATGATCTTCCATCGGTATCTTTATCACTGTTCCTTGGTTCGAATTTATTAGCAGTGGTGAGCCTGTCAGCTGTGATGTATTATCAACCAAAGCAGCATAGATCAGCATATTATATGGTGTTGGCCACAGTGGGGCTCAAGTGACAGATTAGAGATAATTAGAGATGAGAGATGGCTTCACTCGAACGGCCTGCCCACATTAGAGTGGATGTGAAAAGGTCTGAGGAGAGACTTGGCTGAGCATTTCTTGCAACTTGTCCTTTTCAACCCACAAAGTTTTGTTCTCGAAAGCTCCTGAATTTGACCCAAGTTTCCCTTGCCACACCCAGCATTGCACCTGAAAGGATCCAATTTTCGAACCCAGCGCTGGAGAATGTCACAGAGCAAGGGCTACCAATTCATTCAATCTACGTGACAACGCAGCTTGTTGTCAATTCAGAATGCCATTCATGTTTAAGCCATCTTAAACCACATTTTTGGACAACCTTTTTCTATGTTCCCAAAATATTTTATTTTATGTCCTCAAAAGTGTGTTTCAGATTATGTGCATGTTTTTCCAAGAATATCGGGTGTCGAACTTAGGCGCTACGTTTTGCCCCCCACAGAGAGGTTGAAGGATAAGTTCAAAGACTATGGTCTTACAACTTTGGCTTTGGGGGAGCATGGGAAGCAGCAGAAGAAGGAGGATGAGAGACAGAGGAGCCGCTCCCCTCTCCAATTTGATCGGAACATATATGCAGTACAACAGCAGAGTCACTCAGCTTGAAGAAGTTTCCATTGTTGCTGCTATGGCATTGCTTTCAAGTTGTTGTTTGGGAATGAGTTCAAAACCAATAAGTTCAGTAGTTCTTCTGCAGCTCAGGTTCTGAAGATTCTCACCTTTCAACACCTGCTTCAAGTAAATTGGGGGCAGTTCCCAAAGCTGGAGGCACATTTATTTAGAGTTTGAGCATTAGAAATTTCATTGGTGGCTTGGTGTGTTGTTTGGTGGCAAGTTCATTTTTTATTCAACGATCCAGGATTTTATTCTATTGCATCTCTTGGCAGGTCATTGTACATCCCAAGATGGTGACGAAGGAGACACGACTGAAGACCAGAAGGAAGAGGTCATCCAATTCCAAAGATTGCCGACACCAGCCACTGATATCGCAACTTGACAAAATTAAATGAAGTTCTTGACATTGACAACACATGAAGCTATTGTCAACCGAGGCCATGGCATCATATATTGTCAACTCCAATGAAGAAGGTGAGCTATTGGCAAAGAGTGCACTTGCTCAGGCACCTCCTTGACTAAGTGCAAGAGTTTGTTTGGCTTTTTGTTTGACTAAGTGATGTTGGTTTCTTCCAGTGCTTTTTGATACCTGCAGGTCGGCCGGATGCTTGACCATGGTGAAAAAGGAGGTCTAAGCCCCTCAGAGACCTTGGAGAGGATCTACAATTTGACAAGGGGAGCTCTGGCTGTGCATAAAATGTGCAGGCTAGCACAATAGAATGTGACAGAGACATCGAGCACCTACGCATGGCAGAAAAAAGGAGTGACAATTTGATGGCTATGCCTCTTCATTCATCAAAATTGAAATTTGTGTGGTTGATGCTTGAGAGTTTGAATTCACAAAACCATCACGCTAGTGCCACATGTTGCTACGTGCCACTGGTGTGATCTGAGGCTTCTTTCGATATACCACATTGGGTTGCGTGGTTGCATTTAATTTCCAGTGAATTGATTGTGCAAACAAATGGACTTACATTGCAGCTGCTGGTCACTGGCCTGTTCTTTCTTTAATGCTACTGCTTATTGATTGCAATTTTTGTTGCAGGGGTTGTTTCTTTTCTCTGGTGAGGCTGTGCTTCGATTATATTGGCACTGTTGGGCTACATATGGCTACCTGCCAGCATTCAATTTTCAAAATGTTTGATAATATTTATGCAAAATAGTTGACATGTATCAGGGTTGTTTCTTTTCTCTGGTGAGGCTGTGCTTCGATTATGTTGGCACTGTTGGGCTACATATGGCTACCTGCCAGCATTTACTTTTCAAAAGCCACTGGGTCAGAGTGATGTCAGTGCAGTGCACCAAAAGCCATGAAAAGCCACCTTTGTTTCCGAGTCAGTGCTGTTAGGAATCTTGGCTCATGATACTGAAAAATGACAGACAGGTCTAGATCGCCTCAAAGCAGGCTTGGCAGGGTCTCACTGGATAGTGATAGTGAATCTAATGATGGTGATGGCGATTCTTCAGAGACCTCGGGTGGTTCCAGTTCGTCCACCTCAAGCTCGTCATCACATGTTGACCCACTTGAGAGGGCTCGGAGGGAAGTGATTCTTGTTTGTCATTAGTTGGGGTTCAAACAGTTGTGCATTCCAGTTTTCAAGTTTCCAAGTTTCGGGGTTCATGTTTTTAAGGGAAAATCCATTCCAATGTTCAATGCATCATTTGTTTTTGTGGCATGTCAAACTTAGTGGGGTTGAGATTGGTTGACATCTAAGTCAATCTAAGGACTGGTGACTTGAGGCCTCATGTGACACTCTCTCCAGTGCAAGTGTGTCATGTTTCTGGCTGGGGTCGAAGGATGGCATCCCGGGCAGGAAACTTGGCTAGAAATTTGTGTTGTGATCAAACTCTCATTGATATACAGCTCAGTTTTGTGATGTGATCAAATGTACATGTCAACTGGTACCGCTTGTGGCAGCCAGGCATTACAGACTTCTTGGCTGGGTTGAACGTTCCACTTTCCCTGATGTCAGACTGTTCCTTGCCTAATCTTGTCAAAAAGAAACACAAAACAAACTTACAAACCAATTGCTCCAAACATTTTTTCAGCCAACTTTCAACCAACATTTTTTCAGGTTCTGGAGCTGCTGGCTCGTGGTGGGCTTTGAAGGAGATCACTGGAGATCGATGCCGAGTGCTCTCACATGCCGAATGTGCACATGCAGGGCTAAAGTTTCTTCTTGCAAACACTGAAGCTCAGGAGTGCCTTTAATGCAAGTTACTTTGGGGAACATGGGAGCTATACCTTTTTGTTTCCACTGAATTTTAGCAATTTGTTGTTCAGGGGATTGACAGAATGTTACTTCAAGTGAGGATTCATACCGATATTCTGACAAGAAGTCGGAGAGATCTGCCTAGACATGTGTCTTGCTACGACATAGGATTTCCCTGCCAACCTTTCTCCCTACTCCACAACAACTCATCTCTCTTTGAAGAGGAAGCTGTGGAAGTTTTCCGGGAGGCTATGAGAACAATATACTCAATTTCGCCACTTCTTTGCATCTTAGAAAATGTGGTAGGATTGCTTCGATGTTGGCACCTTGTCATTCGCTACTTGGAGAAGCTGACATCTTATTTTTTTGCCAAACTGATTGTGGACCCCAAGCGACTTGGGGACTGTGTCCAACGGAGACGTGTATACATTGTGCTCATTCACAAGTATCTTGGTGTTCAAGTCACAGCATATTTATCCATAGAAATTTGTCAACAATATTTTCACTATGTTATTGTGTTTTCAATCAACGTGCATCCCAAATATTTGGGTGATGGCATTCAATCATTCGTTCAAATGGCGTCATGCCTAGGTCAGTGGCAAAGGGCTACATCGACAGCAACGAGAGCTTGCAAACAGCTTTGGAAACAGTTTACAAAAGGCTGCATGTGTTCCAGGAATTGGATCCGATCTTTGTTGGTCCTAGTTAGTCAAAACTTTCTGATTTGTGTTGTCCTTTGAATGGCCCAGTATCTGAAGGGTGTTAAAATTGAATGCAACAAAAAAGCTGAGGACACAATTGCTCTTCCCGAATTCTCATCCCATTGTGCAAGATGACCTCGAGAGACTAAAAAAAATGGGGCCTCGAAATGCTGTGGAATATGATTTGGATTGGTCAAGTGAGCCGGAAGAAACATGCCCAAAGTGGTTGAAACAGCACTGGGCTATGATGCAAGAACTCGAGGCCTCAGTTGCCAAAAAAAAAATCTTTAACACTTTACCTCGCTTCAATCCCTCTACCCTGAAGGTATCACCTAAAGATCTGCAGCCCTTGAACGAAAGCCGCGGAGTGGTTCATTCCCAACGAGTCCAACATGCCTTGGACATCTTCAATACAGCTGGAACTTTTGGCCAGAACTTCATCAACACAAGCCAGAGCATACATCGAATGATATCAGGTTCTTCGGATTTGGTGCCCTGCATAACTCCAAGTGGGACATTATGGTCAATGCGACACAAAAGGTATTTGACAGGCCGTGATGTGCAAACAAAAATGGTTTCACATGTTTTAAATATTGGTTCCACAGCATTCCAAAAAATGCATGCCAATATGTTTTGGCCCTGAAACCATTCAGGAATTGAAAAACTACTATGTCAGAGCTTTCCAGTACATCAGTTGAAGCTGGCACATCTCACCAATGCCGATTCTTGGATTGAAATTTAATATCATAACCATAATGTGATCATTGGAAACTGATTTCATAGAATAGAAAGGTTCAATTCAGAAACAGTCTTGCTTGCTTGGCCAAGGAAATACACTCCCTCGCTGGAAATGCGTACCACGTCAAAGCAGTCGCTGCAGCATATGTATGTGCTCTGGCAATGTGCAGCTTGGAAAAATTCAATGCTGAGATGGACAAGCGTTTGCAGAACTGATGTAAAAACAAGCTGAGGGCTGAGGGTGTTGGGTTTCGTGCAACATACCAAAACAACATTTCACATCAT